ATAGAATAGAATAGAATAGAATAGAATAGAATAGAATAGAATAGAATTCTTTATTGGCCAAGTGTGATTGGACACACAAGGAATTTGTCTTGGTGCAAATGCTCTGTGTACATAAAAGAAAAGATACATTCGTCAAGAATCATCAGGTACAACACTTAATAATAGTCATAGGGTACAATAAGCAATCAAATCATACCAGGAAACAATATAAATTGTAAGGATACAAGCAACAAAATTACAGTCATACAGTCACAAGTGGGAGGGGATGGGTGATAAGGAATGATGAGAAGATTAATAGTAATAGTAGTGCAGACTTTGTAAATAGTTGAACAGTGTTGAGGGAATTATTTGTTTAGCAGAGTGATGGCATTTGGGTAAAAACTGTCCTTGTGTCTAGTTGTTCTGGTGTGCAGTGCTGTATAGCATCGTTTTGAGGGTACGAGTTGAAACAGTTTATGTCCGGGATGTGAGGGGTCTGTAAAGTGGGAGCTTTTGAGCTGCTGTCCCAGTGATTTTATCTTTTGTTTGTTGTGTTTGTGTGATTGTATGTATGGGATGTTGGAGTGACACACGAAGAACAGTCCAACTGTTGGAATGCAAAATTGGACTCCTTAGCTCAGCCTGGTGTTAATCACACCCACTATAACCGGCATTTGAGAATTAAGCAGCCTTTTTAATCAGACTGGAATTTCCTAGTCTGGCTTGGCTGCTTGGGGGGGGGGGGGGGGGGGGTGCTGGTTTTTTGGGGGCGTTTGGGGGGGGGGGGGGGGGGGGGGGGGGGGGGGGGGCTGTTGCTGCTTATTTGGGCCATTTTGGGGAGAGGGCATTGGGGAGTCAGACAAGGGTGAAATAGGAACCAGTGCATAAGCCGGGGTGGGAGGCCCCCATCGGGACCCCAGGCCAATTGGCAGAGTTGTGCTTTTAAGACCCTTTCAGAAGGGGCCCAGTGTTCCAGAGCTGTAGGGGGAGACAACAGAAAAGGCTTGTCAAGGTATTGAGATTTAATAGCTCACGAGTTGTCGTAAGGTTGATGCAATGAAGATGAATCAGCATGGTTATTGCCACTTTAAGACTGAGGATGGGTCCCACAGGGTTTTACCACTTTAAGAAGCTATATATATAGCCATGAGAGGGCGTACCTCACTTCCCTCCTTGTGTTCTGTCTCCATTGTGGCTCTCTGTGTAGAGTAAAAAAGATTGATTGATTGCCAGGTATTTGCCTACCACGTATATGTACGTATATAGCTGTCTTGAATACAAACCACTGTTAAAAGACAAAGCCCCTGTTCGTGCTGTGTTTTGCTCCTGGGTTGTCTCAAAATAGCGGTCACGCAGCAAACACTGTGACAAGGCTCTTCTCCTGGACCCTGCTGCTGAGATTCCTTGACCGATGGGGTCCACGGCATGCCCTCTTCTGTTGGAGGGAGCAGGGTTGGCCAACCCCATTGAGTTGAAATGGCGGACAAGGTTTTGTCTCAGTGGGTGAGGCACCTTCCTGGGAGCCTTGCACTCAGCGTAATTATGCATGTCTGGGCCCAACATTCCCATTCTTCGACCAAACTGGGTCCGAAGAATCCTGGTGCTGCATCTTGACCCACTGAGGGTGTTCCTTTCTATCCTGCCCCTTCAGGAACCCGTCGGAGTTTCCTTGAGGAGACGGCATCAGCCAGCATTGCACGATTGCCAAGTTCTGTTTGTTTCAAAGATCTCTTTGCAAGGAGGTTGAATTTCTCCTTGGGGATAACGGGACTTAATAAGACTCCAAACAAAGGCTTTATGTTGCATGCCGAGATAATTACTCTTAGCAACCAAAGTGCCACTTTGAAACTTTGGGGCGTCTCATGTGCAAGTGTGCACTTGTGCATTTTTGAGAATGCTAAGCGGGTGGTTTGGAGGAGGAAGCGGGGGGCCAAGGACGTCTTCCTAGTCTTCCTCCTCTCCTTTTGGTCACCACAGACAAATATTTGGTTCTTCGTTGATAGGAAGCGCGCATTCCAAAATACGTGCTCATTCCCAACAGGAACCTTACCCTACATCTATCCCAAGGGTGTCAAACTCAATTTCATTGATGGCTGTATCAGAGTTGTGTTTGACCT